ATTTGTGGGTCATCTGATCACCACATCGCCTTCTGACAGTTTAATAGTCCTTATCATATTATCACACTGTTATTGCATGCTAGGACCTATTCTCTTTGCCAGAGCTACTGCTATTTCTCCTGCATGTTTTAGCTTCCTATTAGCAGGGTTTATTAACATGGTTTGTTGATCCAGTTTTTAGGATTTCAATATTTGACATTATTTATTTCCAACATTCCTTTTTCCTGAATATCATGTCTAACAATGTGTTTTTTTTCTTCTAGGAGTAGTAGATGGGATACTCCTAAATGGCATTTTTGAGCTTTTATCCCTGTATGGTGGAGATAGGGTCTCAAACATTATACCACCTGCTTGTTGCTCTCTGTCAAACGGTAGTCTGACAGGAAAGTATTTTGGTCGCGGTACGCCCCGTGGGTCTGGGGCTAAGCTGACCAGGGCGGGCAGAAGCTCCGGATTTTGCTTCTGTGTATTCCCCCTGTGTGGTTGGCTCCGAGTCATTAAAAACTGCGTTCTAACCTCGTCCGCCATTATTTTGTTTGTTTGTTTAAAAAAAACAACACAAAAATGTATTAAAGGGTTCAAGTTCACTCTTTTATACACATGCAAGTTCCTAGGCTTTACTCTCGACGGGTGATCAGTCCGACTTATACCGTCACTTGGTTCTAAGTTCTCTTTCTGGATTCAGTTAGTACATGCGGGTACCTCAGCTAAGAGTGTTATGTACTGAGCTTCACATTTTTTTAAACAGCATAGGTACCTTTAGACCTATGTTTATCTTTTATTAAATCTCCTATTAACTCTTCCCCACGTTATGTTTTAACGCAAAAGTTCAAACCGCAGGCTCTTGGTCAAGTCCTAACCTATAAGTTTCAAAGTAATTGGACAAGTACTGAGCAGTGCTCCCTACGGCTGACTTCACTTTAGCCACCTAAACCTGTGTTAAAGGGACCACAGGCTTCTCAATTTGACTAGGGGAAAATGAACCTTCTTTAGCTTCTTTAATCAGACAGCTATATCCGATATAATATAACCTCAGTCCGGTGTAATAGTATTAACTTAAATTACTACACTTTCAGGTTTAATTATATATATTCTAGGATTTGGGGTAGGTATTTTAACAAGAATTTCAGCCTGTATTTCGCTGATTTGTATTCCTTCGACTTTTTTCACTAGGAGTCTTTTGGTTCTTGTATTTTGACTCTGTAAAAATATTACTTTTCACAGAGCCCCACGTTGGGCGCCATGTTTAGAGTTTTGAGAGGTCCTGATAATTTATTCCGGTAATTACTCTGACCTCCTAATTGACCTTCCGAAGATTATTGAGTCTATGTAAGTTTGCTGCTTGGCTCAGATCCACCAACGTCAGCAAGATCTCACCTCTTCCTAACCCCCCCCGAAGAACCAGGTTCAATTAACTGCTGTTTCAATTCAGACAACTCTTTTTTAATCTGTTTTAAAGCGATCCCGAAGGATTTTGATATCAGTAAATGGAGTGTGCTCCTACCTAAGTGTGTGTGGCAGGGTGCAATCTTACCTTTGACGCAGGAGAGGAGGGCACAGGTGTCTTTTAAAGGATCCCAATCCAACAGGTGGGATTCAGTTTATTTGAAGAAAAATAGGTCCAAACTAATACAGGGTTTTACCTTCTCTCTCACAACATTATAATCATCCTAACAAAAACCGTGCTGTGATCATGTTCAAATGAACTTTAATTCACAGTCTTACATTTATTACCAAAAATGTTTTAATTCCAACTGCCCATTTCAGTTGTGACATTTTAAAATTCTCCCGATAGAATTTAGAGGTATTTCCTCGTAAAAAGACCGGTGACAATAAAAGCGCATTCAACTTTCCATTCACCAATTTATTCACATCAGTTTCATACCGTTTTTTCCGACACAGACGGCGGATTAACACTCAAAAACCCATACCTGTCCGCAAATTCGGGGGACCAGATTTCCCCACAGGTCGCGGTATTTATAAAGGTTCATACACTTTTTCCGACACAGACGGCGGATTAACACTCAAAAACCCATACCTGTCCGCAAAATTCGGGGGACCAGATTTCCCCACAGGTCGCGGTATTTATAAAGGTTCATACACTTTTTCCGACACAGACGGCGGATTAACCTTTCAAAAACACATTCCTATCCGCCAAGAGTTCGAAGGAAGGTCCTTACAGGTCGCTGGTTATAATATTCACCAACACATCTCTCATCAAATCATTCCACTCAGCCAACAACCAATAAATTCGAGAGATATTTACCCCGTCTAGAAGGACCTTACCGAGAGCTATTAACCCAGCTCTGAAGCACACAGCCCTACCCGGAGAGAGTCTACCAGGGGTCTCCCCCCCCTCTCTCGCGCTCTCTCAAAAAACCAGTCTCTTTATGCTAAAAGAAACTGGATCCTAAACCTCAAAAAACAAACTCCTCCTCTATACCTAATTTGTGAAGAACTGCGCATGTCCTATAATGTACAAGGCTGAACATGCTCAACATGTTCCACAGCTGTTATGGGATAAGACACCCTTTCATATGAGGTAAAAAGGACATGAACTCTCTTTGGCCTCTAATGTTTCTCCCCTTAGTGTGAAGCCCCCCCTCTCTCTGGACTGCTGCCAGAGGAGAGGAAGAAAACTCAACCTAAACAACCCACTTTGTTTTGTTTATACTGTAACTATAGAAAACCTAAAATATGAAGCATTTTCATTGTGGGTTATACAAGAATATAATTGATTATATTTGATTATAACTAACTTTCGTTTTTAAGTATTAAACATACTATGAAAACTCACAACACTGTGGAAGATGGGGACATTGAACCAGAGTGGGCGGCTGTTCAAAGCCTCTATTACCGAAGCCGCGGCGGGGAGCTGTGGTCTCAAGGTCTTAGGTGCCTCAAGGGGCGGTAACCCTCAAACCTCCTGGTGGACACCGGTGGTCAAGGGAAGCCGTCCGACTGAAGAAGGAGGCCTTCAGGGATATGTTATCCCGGGAGACTCCCGAGGCAGTTGCAAGGTACCGACAGGCCGAGGCAAAGCAGCGGGTGTGGGAGAAGTTCGGAGAAGACATGGAAAAGGACTTTCGGGCGGCACCAAAGTTGTTCTGGAAAACTGTCCGACACCTCAGGAGGGGGAAGCAGAGAACCATCCAAGCTGTGTACAGTAAGGATAGGACGCTGTTGACCTCAACTGATTGAGTGTTAGGGTGTTGGAAGGAACACTTTGAGGAACTCCTGAACCCGACAACTCCGCCCTCTATGGTAGAGGCAGAGCTGGAGTATGACGGGGGATCAACACCAATCTCCCGGGGGGAGGTCACTGAGGTCGTCAAACAACTCCACAGTGGCAAAGCCCCGGGGGTAGACGAGATCCGCCCAGAAATGCTGAAGGCTCTGGGTGTTGAGGGACTGTCATGGTTGACACGTCTCATCAACGTTGCGTGGAAGTCTGAAACAGTACCGAAGGAGTGGCAGACCGGGGTGGTGGTTCCCCTTTTCAAAAAGGGGGATCAGAGGGTGTGTGCCAATTATAGAGGCATCACACTACTCAGCCTCCCCGGGAAAGTTTACTCTAAGGTACTCGAAAGGAGGGTCAGGGCCGATTGTCGAACCTCAGATTGAGGAGGAACAATGCGGATTCCGTGGAACGACGGATCAGCTTTTTTTTTTTTTTTTTTTTTTTTTTTTACTCTCGCAAGGATCCTGGAGGGGCCTGGGAGTACGCTTATCCGGTCTACATGTGTTTTGTAATTTGGAGAAGGCGTATGACCGGGTTCCCAGGGAGTTATTGTGGGAGGTGCTGCGGGAGTATGGGGTGAGGGGGTCTCTACTCAGGGCCATCCAATCTCTGTACTCCCAAAGCGAGAGCTGTGTCCGGGTCCTCGGCAGGAAGTCGGACTCATTTCCGGTGAGGGTTGGCCTCCATCAGGGCTGCGCTTTGTCACTAATCCTGTTTGTAATATTCATGGAAGGATTTCGAGGCGTAGTCGTGGGGGAGGGGGTCTGCAGTTCGCACCGTAGTGACGAAAAGGGAGCTGAGCCAGAAGGCAAAGCTCTCTCTCTACCGGGCCATTTTCGTTCCTACCCTCACCTATGGTCATGAAGGATGGGTCATGACCGAAAGAACGAGATTGCGGATACAAGCGGCCGACTGGGAGTTGAAACGCTCCTCCTTCGCGTCGAAAGGAACCAGTTGAGGTGGTTCGTGGCACCTAGTAAGGATGCCACCTGGGCACTTCCCTAGGGAGGTGTTCCAGGCACGTCCAGCTGGAAGAGACCAAGGGGTAGACCAAGGACCAGGTGAGGGATTATATCTCTTCGCTTGCCTGGGAGCGCTTTGGGATCCCCCGTCAGAGCTGGTTGATGTGGCCAGGGAGAGGAAAGTTTGGGGCTCTGTGCTGGAACTGATACCTCCGTGACCCGACCACGGATAAGTGGGAGAAGATGGATGGATGGAAATAAAACAATCCTCCGTATAATTGGATAAATGACAAAACCAACTAACAGCGAGAAGATAATATTAGTTAATAAGTGGAAGAAATGGATGATTTCTGAAGGAGGAAAAGTGATGTAAGATTTTATTTTTTTATACTTGAATTAATATGTAAAATACTACTTGATGAATAAAAACTCAAATATTAGACCGTTTTATTTTTAATACATTTTGCTTGGGTAATAAAAAGGAGGACCACCATTGAAGCTCTTTCAGATTGAAATGCCCCCCCCCTGCTCAAAAGACTAAACTACTGTGAGGAAATGTTGAAAATGGTTAATCTATTTGGAGAATTGTAAACTGTGCTCTGCTCTGTTTGTGGATGAGCTTTTATTGTATTTGTTGAATTTGTTAATTTGCACACTTTTTTATTTTATTTATTTTTTAGCATTATTTTGTAATCTGCCATATGTCTAATGTTGAGGAATGTTCAGTTGTTTTTGTGTAATGTGATAAATGTAAAATATCTATAAATAAAAAGTCCCCCCCCCCCCCCCCCCCTCACCTGCAGGCGGTCACAGAGAGTCTGAGTGGGTGCTCCAGGTGTTTGGAGATCAGCGCGGCCACGATGACGGCGAAGGCCACCTGCTGGATCTGGATCCCCAGGTAGACCAGCAGCAGGCCGAACAGGCCTTTTCATGCTCTTCTCGTCCACCAGGGGGCCGTACCGGTAACACACCGCGAAGGTGACGAAGCCCACCACCGTCACGTAGCCTGAGGAAACACGGGAACATATATAGTTACTTACATGGTTTTATTATGCTTTTTAATAACAACTTTAGGGCACACATGATCAGAAGTTTTTAGGTTTGAAGGACCTGTAGTAATAGAGTGGTGCAGTGACGAGCCCGAAAACCAGGAGCATTTCTCCACTTCCTGTTCCCTTGTCTCAGAGCCAATGGGATCTCTCCATAGGATTTTGGAAAATATCTGGAACTAAGGTCTGTGGTTCAGACACATTGAAGAGACTGATCACGTTTTGTTCTAGGACATTAAATCCATCAGCAGTGACCCCACTGGTGATTGAAGAGTTGACGTGTCTGAAAAACGATGGTTGTTACCAAGTGGCTGAATAGGACTACAGAAGTCGTGGAGGCTGTTGTACGTCATTACGCCGAACACGTAAACACTCCTCTAAATTAGTTTGCCCTGTTCTGCTTGAAAGCAAGTACCTGCCTCCTGCAAACTGTTCAAACTAACGCTTCAACTTGAACCATTTAGAATCTGTATGTTTGAATATGGATCTTAAGTTGGCGTGACGTTGAAGTCGTGCTGCTGTACTCGGCTGTAGTTCCTTTATAGCATAACGTTAGCATGTTGCTTCTGGCGATTAGGGCTGAACGATTAATCGATTTTAAAGAAAAATCGCAATTAGATTTTTCCCCAAAATCGTGCAGCCCTACTGGCGATCAGATATATGATTTGAAATGTATAAAAGTAGGGTAGACATGTGGATATTATCCGGCTGAACAAAACGTGCATTTATCAAACCGCTTCGTTTTCCACAGACCTTATTTTGAGCTATTTTCCAAAATCCTATGGAGAAATCCTGTTGCTTTTTTGTCGAGGGAACCAGCAGCTTCCTTCAGGGTAAACACGTCCTCCCTGCACCTCTCTATAAACTGACCACTAAATAACTTGGGATAATATGGGACTATGAGTGAATGAAGCATATTCAAATAATCCTGTACTGCCATCTAGTGTCTGATAAGATAAAGTGTTGCAGCAGCATAAAACAAAACGAGGCATTGCCCATAATAACTAAAGACTAGAAATACACAATTCTAAAATATAAACATCTCAAAATAGAAATAAACCAGCACTAGCGAGTTAAAAGGAAAATGTACAGAAGATACAAAGAAATCTATACAATTTCTCACAAAGGGCCAATTTTCGCGGAACACAATATAAGCAGGATATTATTTACATAAAGTGTGCAAGGAATGGAATATTCAATGAAATGTAAATATGAAATGTACAGTGTGAATGTTATAAATCCAGTTAACCAAGGAGGAGCTATGGAGAGGTGAGTTCTATTTCGTATATGGCTTCGCCCTCTAAGGCTATCGCTATTGGGTTATCCCCCTGCGCCCCCGCGCAGCACTGAAACACTTGTAGTCCACGCCCACCCTCGGGCCTCCTTCCGGTATAAATAGGAAGGGGGCCCGGCAATCTGCTCCATCTTTTCTTCAGCAACCAGCACAGTACTGAAGCACAGCAATTGAGAATCATCATGAGCAACAACTGCATCCGTGATTGTCCCTCATGTGGCTCTGGGTTCATAATGAATTATGACCAGCAGAGATAAAAGCAGTATGCAAATCCTGCCTGGAGTCGGAGCACACGTACGCGGCTCTAAACCAGCAGGTAGTATGCACACACTGCGCCCGTCTCCCCTCGGGCGACAGGAAGCGGAGAGCGGACGCTCTTGCTGCTGCGGCCGAGGAGGACGATTGGCCCGTCCAGGCTTACGAGCCGCGGACGGGGCCTCGTGTCCCTGGGGCCGAGTGCCGGGCAGGAGTCCGAAGAAAAGCAACTCCTGCCCCGCCTCCCTCCACGGTTCACCGTTCGGTTCTCCCCTCCCTCCTCTCCCCCGGACGGAGGAGACAGAGTCGGAGCAGGGTGCCAGCTTGGCGGCCGAACATGCTTTTCCCCTCTCCGTCACCACAGTGCGGCGGCGAATAACATTGCGCTGCTCTCCAACTCGGTGGTGACACTGGTAGAGCGGTCCACCACCGAGGCAGAGGAAATCAGCAAGGCGGCCAGCACAGCGCTCATTCTGTGCGCGTCCGTTGCTGTCTCCCAGGCGAGGATTTCTGCGTGGGTTACACAGATCTAACAATGCTAATGCGGGGATAATAAAATGGCGGCTTCACAAAACTTTTTGGGAGTTTTACGGGGCGTGGTTTGCAATCCGCCCTGCCAATCAGACATATAGCTCTTTTCTCACAAGAGAGCTGTACGAAAGTCCCTGCTCTCTAGCTCTCTGCTCTCTAGCAGGGACTTTCGTGGGGGTAAAAAGGTTCTCATGAACTAATTTTAGTACCGGCTCTTTTTGGTGTGAACGCGATAAAAGAGGCTAACGTCCACGCTAGCTTCCACGCTAGCTGCTATATGTTTTGCATTGAGGTGATACTTGAGGCTTGATGTGTTGCGGTGATATGCAAATTCCTTTTTGCATAATTTGCACACAACCGTGCTCTTATCGACGCTTCCATCCGTCCGTTTTTTAAAACAACATTTCCCACTGTTGTTCACTGTGGTTTGTTGTTGTCTGAAGTCATGAACGTTAGTTGGTGCTCCAGTATAATCGGTACGCCTGAAACTCATCCAGTGAGAAACGTTCCGCGGTGCAAAAATAAGTGCGATTAAAATGCGTTAATTTTTTTAACGCGTTAATTTTTGTGTAATTAATTAATCTTAATTAACGCGTTAAAGTCCCGGCCCTAAAAATAATATATTATATTGTATTAGTGCATCTGCATCAGATAGGGTAATAACTTCATAATTAACTGCGTCTGAACGCAGAAGTCTAGTGCAGATAATTGCAAGTCTCTTCAGTGCTCATGTCACAAAATTGTTTTTTTTTAAATCTGATAATATGAGTAAAAAGTCAATTCTAAGAAAAAAGTCAAATTCTTAGGAAAAAGTCAAATTCTGAGAAACAAAGTCAGATTCTGAGAAAAAGTCAAATTCTGAGAAGAAAGTCAAGTTTTAAGAAAAAGTCAAATTCTGAGAAAAAAGTCAAGTTCTAAGAAAAATGTTAAATTCTGAGAAAAAAGTCAGATTCTGAGAAAAAAGTCAAGGTTTAAGAAAAAAGTAAATTCTGAGAAAAAAGTCAAGTTCTAAGAAAAAAGTAAAATTCTGAGAAAAAAGTCAGATTCTGAGAAAAAAGTCAAGTTTTAAGAAAAAAGTAAAATTCTTAGAAAAAAAGTACAATTCTGAGAAAAAGAGTCAAATTCTGTGAAAAATAGTCAGATTCTGAGAAAAAAAGTCAGATTCTGAGAAAAAAGTTAAGTTTTAAATGATACATGTCATGCTTTTCCGGTTATTACCCGTCCCCTTGTGTGTTATG